AAAAAAAAAAAAATTAAAAAAGACCAGGCAGGGACTATCAAAGAGGCGGCGATAGGAAGATATTATCTGACGTGTTCTCTGTCCTCAAGGGACAGCAAGGCTTTCAATCCAGGAGAGAAATCGTCTGGGCTGGGGGGACTGTGCTTTCAAATTGGAGCTGTGGATAGGTCAAGACAGCAGTTTAATTGGTCATGCCCCCCCACCACCACACACATCTTTTTTTTTTTACATGAAAGAAAATCTAAAAGAAAATATCCAGTTGCATTTATATAACAAGAGTAAATACTTAGTTTCATATATAATGGTGCACGTGTGTGTACATTCGTAGGCCACATGTATGTATTTTGTATATGGGTTGTGCTTGAGAGAGTGTGAAGAGCGCTGATGAGGAAGATTCTTGAAGGAGACCTGGTGGCTCAATGAGTTAGGTGCTGGGATGCTACTTGAAAGGTTGGCAGTTCAAACACACCAACTGCTCCAGTGAAGAAAGGAGAGGGTGTCTGCTGTCCTAAAGAATAAAAGCCCAAACTCACCGCCATCAAGTTGCTCTGACTCATAGTGACCCTGTAGGGCAGAGCATAGAACTTCGCCTGCGGATCTCCAAGACTATACAATCTTTATGGAAGTAAAAAGCTTCATCTTTCTCCAGAGGAGCGGCTGGTGGTTTTGAACTGCCAACCTTATAGTTAACAGCCCAACGAGTAACACAATGCCAACAGGGTTCCTCTTCAGAAAGAATATAGCCTCGAAAACTCGATGTAGCAGTTTTCCTGTTCTATAGGGCTGCTAGAAGTTGGAACCAACTCAAGGGCAGTGTTTCTGTGTTGTTACTTTTGGCTGGGAGAACTCTCATTAGAGAGTGCTATTTTTAACACATACTAAACACATCCAGTTATGAAGACTGACCCTTCTCCTCATTCTGGGAGTCTGTGCTAAAATTAAACAGAGAGTGGGGGTGGAATATAAGAACTGGAAGGAGGAAGCCAACTAGCAGAAGGCAGAATGTAAACGAGTAAGCTGTTAATAAGAGACAAGTGAGCAAGGGCAGGAGCCGGGCGAGGCTGGGCTTTTCCCTAAGCCCTCCAGGCGTTACCACCGAGGAGCCCTGGGCACTCTTCTTCCTCCGGACTTCTGGCGGCACAGGGTTTTCGGTGCTGCCGCTGTGGTTAGCTGTTGTTGAGTTTGCCCTCAACTCATGGCGACTCCAGAGGCAAAGGAAGGAAAGGTAGCCGAGTCCAGTGCCTGTGTCATGCACTGGGGGGGAATCATTGTGACCCAGAGGGTTTGGCTTAGTTTGGTTTAGTTGTGCCTTTTCTCACGGTATTAAATGTCTAGGTAACAAAATGGTGGCTGTTCCCATACTTTGCACATGTACAGTCCAGCAGCCTGAATTCCGTTCACCATGTTTGCAACCATCTCTGTTAAACAGCTCCCACAGATTTTTGTCGCACTCAACAGGGCTTCTGTCTCCCCCTAACAGTTGTATCTTGCTCACCCAACCCTCTTCCTCCATCTCTGGGAACCACTGATAAACACTGATCTCTGTACACTTGCCTCTTCGACATATTTGCATGCCCAAGTCTAGGCATCCAAACTAAGCTCCTAATAGTTTAGCTGTTTAAGGCCAGGCATTAAGGCGACCCTGAGCATGCATAAGTAAGGGACATAGGACTGGTCCTAAGATTAGATTCCTTGGAAAAGTGAGTGATCAGGTGAAAGACAGCCCCAAGCTCCTACCTTAGACCAAAGAGTCCATTCAAATTGAAAGTAGACTCCCTAGTCATTCTCGTCACCCAGGGAAACGCGCAATGTGCAAACCCACTGCCATCAAGTCAATGCCAACTAATTGTGACCCTACCGGGCAGAGTAGAACTGCCCCCTGAGAATTTCCAGAATATACCTCTACAGGATGAGAAAGGCCCTTCCTTCTCCCAAGGAGGGGCTGGCTGGTGCTCTCCAATTGCTGACCTTGAGGATCATAGTCCAACACATGACCGCTGTGCCACCAGGTCTCCCGAGAGCATGTGCCCTTTCCCATCAGACGCACTAAAACATTGTCTTTAATCTTCATGCGTTTGTTCCTTAAACACAGCCCAATCTCACTCCTCTGGATGAGGAAGGCGAGGAGGCACGGAACAGCATGCGTCTGCGGACCTCAAGAGGGTGCCTTGACAATCAGAATGTCTATTTTCCCCTGAGGAGTTCAGCCTCCCTCCCCACCCCCCTCCCCAAGTCTCCCTATGACCATCTGACAGCACATATGAAGGAACTGAAATCATCCTTGGGCTGAGCATGGCAGCATGCAATCAAGAGGGCAAGTTGGCTTGGGGCCAGCTGAGTAAGAAGGGTACAATCCTGTACACTCCAAAATCGAGCAGGAACAAAGTTTGGCCATTAAAGACTAATACCTATGTATCTTCAAGAAGCCCTGGTGGCATAGTGGTTATGCGTTGGGCTGCAACCCCAAAAGGTTAGCAATTCAAAACCAATGGCCACGACAAGGTAGAAAGACAAGGCCTTCTACCCGCCTATTGAGTCATAGTCTTGTAAACTCACAGGAGTAGCTCTATCGGGTGGCTGTGAGTCAGTATCAACTCGATGGCAGTGAGTTTGGATTTTTTGGATCTCTCCCCAGGGAGCAATGATATGTCAGTGGTAAAATTCCCACTTTCCATGTGGAAGACCTGGGTTTGATTGCTGGTCAAGCACCTCACGTGCAGGCATCAATCACGTAGCAGCAGAGGCTGCTGTGCTGATGTGATGCTAAACAGGTTTCAGTGGTTCCGGAAGAAGACAGAGTAGGAAGAAAGGTCTGGCAATCTATCACAAACATCAGCCAGTGAAAGCCTTAAAGATCACAATGGTGTGGTCTCATTGTGCATTGGGCCACCACATGTCTGGGATCAACTTGACAAGAGCTGTCAGTAACATGTGTTTACTTAGACCTGAAGTTAAATAACGACTCCAGTGTAACTTAATCTCCCCCCACTTCAGTTTCCTGTAAAAATCACATGCAAATAAGAAGATATATGTCTGAAGTGGCTTGCTGTGCCCAGGTCAGGAAACTACATTATTCATCATTAGGACTGAGTCAAAGGTTTGGAGGATGCTGGCTCCTGGGACCTCATCGGCCTGGTTGGGAAAATCCCTTCACCTCTCTGGCTTCATCTACGAAATGGGCGAATGAAACCAACTCATAAGGTTTCTGTAAGGACTACATGAGAATCTGTAGGTAAAGTCTTGGAAAGCCACAGGGCATCGCTATGAGTCAGCATTGAATCGATGGCTGTGAGTTTGGTTTGTGGTTTTGGTATAGCCTGGCACAGAACAGAGGACCCATAAGTGCTATCTATTTTGATGACTGCCTTCCTTTCAGGAGGTGGACATGTCCCAATAAAGTGCTGTTTTCGTGGGACCTCAGCCCACGAGCTATCTCTCCCACGGGCCATGGATGTTCAACGTCTCAAAGACCAACGTGTCTCCCAATGGCTCTGCTCCTCCTCGTCTGTTTCCTAGAATGGGACATGGCCCCCAGCCTCCCCATGATGCACGTGCGAAGCCCTGCAGCCATTCTTGACTGCTCCTTTCTCCCTCACAGCAAATCCATCATCAGGTTCCATCCAGTCTCCTTCTTAACTGACTCAGCTCCATCTGTTCCTTCTCATCTGCCCACCAGTCTTAGTCAAGATCACCATGCACTTGGCCCTGGGTAACATGTTTCCAAACTCATATCCTTGTCCCCACCCTTCCCCTTGAACCTACTCTCCAGACTGCAACTCCAGTTGCTTCTCTGAATGCCTATCTGGCCACCATTCTCCCTTGATTTAACCCTTCCTTGGCTCCTCCAAATTAAAACCAAGTCCCTTCCTCAAACTGCCAGAGTCTACTGACACCTGCCATGCGTCCTGTTTGGCTCCTTCTCCAGCCTCACCTGCCAAAACGACCCTTCTTTTTCTGGATGTTCCAGCCACACAGAGCCACTTGAACCTCCTCGGTTGAATTGGATTCTACTCTCCCCACACGTTGCCCCAGCTCTCTCTTTCTCTGCAGGACTTCACAGCAGCTTCCACCTCTATTTAAAGTACTCAACCCTCCCTTCTCAAGGTCTGAACTTCAGCCCAGGTGTCACTTCTTCTAGGAAGCTTCCCCTGACAGTGGGCATACTGGGCTGGATTCTGCTGTGTCCACTGTACTGCTGCCGCCTGCTTAATTGTCCTTCTGCCTTTTGTTTGAAGGGAAAAATACCTATTATTTTGTCATTAAAGCACCCCGAGTGCCCCCAGTAACTCGTCCCCCAAAGGCACTCAGATAAAGGGCATTCCAAGATGTGTTTATTGGAGAACTGGGTGAATACTAACAATCGCCCATGCCCCAAGGAGCTATCTCTGGTTGGCAGGGTCCAGCAAAGACAACGCGTACATACCTAGGATGGCCACCACCTCGTCGTCCTGGATGACCTCCAGGGAGCCGGAGACCACAAAGCAGAGGCTGTCCACGCTCTCGCCTGCGTGGTAGATGAGGTCCCCCGGGGCGCAGTGTACAGTCTGGAACTCCATGGCCAGGGCCCGCAGGCAGCCGTCGCTGGCCAGCCGGAAGGCTGGATGCTCCTTGAACACCTTGCGGTTCAGGTGCACGCAGATGTCAGCTCGCATGTCTTTCGGACAGATCTGCAGGACCTGACAAGGCACAGGAGGAAAGAGCATGAAGGTTCTACTGTGACTGACAACCCACGGCTCCTTGTACCCCAGGGCAGAAGCAACACCCACTGCCCTATAGAAACTCTTCTAGGCACTAGTGACCAGGAGCCCTGATGTCATAGCAGGTTATGAGTTGGGGGGCTAACCAAGAGGTAACCGGTTCAGACCCAGCAACAGTGAGTTCCACAGAAGACTGAGCCTTTCTCTTCCCTATTTAAAGCCTTGAAATGCACACAGGATGTGCTACCCCACCCTGTGGAGCCAGAGTCAGAATCGCCTGACTGGCAGTGAGTGAGGCACCAGTGAACAAGACTGTCATCGGCCTGTGCCCTTGTGAAGCTCACATTCCTGTGAAACAGGCTGGGGCCACAAGGCATGCCATCACTGAGCTGCTCTCCACGCTCATTTCTCCTGTAAAATGCAGGTTGCCAGCCTCGGCTTAAGAGTTCCTGGGTGGCCCCATGGTCAATGTGCTTAGCTGCTAATCAAAAGGCTGGAGGTTCAAGTCCACCCAGAGACATCTCCAAAGAAAGGCCCGGAAACGTAGTTCCAAACAAGAAAAGAAAAGAACACTCAGCCATGGAGAGCTCTTGGAGCACAGGTCAGCTCTGCCATGGGTTGCCAGGAGATCACAGGGACTCGATGGATGGTGGTTTGATCTGTGAGCACTCAGTGGCATCCTGCCCGGGAAGTGCGGGTCCCCAACAGGGCTCAGCATCAGCCCTGTCTCTCTGTGGGCCTTTTTAGCTGTCAGGTTGCAGGACGAGAGAAAATGAGGGGGTTTGGCTGACTGGCCAAGGCAAAGAGAAAAATCCCAACTTGGTTCGCGTGCATGATAAGTACCTCTCTCCTTGAGGCTCATTAAAAACAAGTTTCCTGCATAACTACCGATTTAATTTGGGCCGTCTTATCTCCAAGCTTAACACCAGAAAGGGAGGAATGCTCTGAATGTCATGTCAAAACTGTGCCCAGCGGTTCGGAACCAAGATTTATCCCCCAGGTGCGGTCACCTTTAAATATTTGCTTTCCCCTGGGCTGGGCTTTGCTGGCAGAGGCCCTGGCATGGGAACAATGTTTTATTCATGGGCACCATTCCCAGAGCTGCTGGAGAGTACATGTGAGGAGACGAGGGACGCTGGATTGGAAAAATTAGAGTCGGCCTCGGCCATCCGTCACCTCCATCAGCCCTTCGACTCTGCACACCCCACGGAGGGATGGGGGTGGGAGGTGCAGGTGGAGGGGCAGTCTTGACCACTTCTGCCTGAGGGAAGGCATCAACTATGGGACCCCTGATCCCACAGCCCACCCAGTCCACCTCCCTCGCTGCTTGATTCTGAGAAGGTCTCATTCATTTGGTGCTTGAAGATCTGGGTGGCAGTGATAGGGAGATGTCACCCAAGAGGTGGCGAATGAAGCTGGAAGGTCAGGGTGAAGAAAAGCAGCTTTAGGACCAGACCAATCTGAACTCAAGGCCCAGCTCCATCACTCAGAAGTCACACTCCTAAGCAGTCCTCAGCTTCTCTGCAGGCTCTTCATTTTCCAACTTGAGTACAGCGTGGTCCTGAGGGTTCCATGAGGGGCTGGGGACACAGTCCTGGCACAAATGCTGGGTGCACAGCAAGGGCTCCATACACGCAGATGATTGTGTTGTTGTTGCTGTTGAAGCAGCAGCAACAAGTCATCTGGAGAGAGGCTTGAGATCCCAGAAGGTCACAGCCCAAAGAATGCTATAGGCCATCAAGCATCTAGGTGTACCGACATGGAAACTGAAGCTCAGAGGAACATGACATGCTCAAGGCCACCAATTCACTACTGGTCACACCCAGATGGCTCCCCTGGTCACCACTGACCCTTCTGATCTGGAATGGCATGGCCCTTAGGTAAAAGGGCTGCATGTTTCTATGCATGGTGGTGGGAGGATTCAGGGGATAATGGTGACGGTTGCACAACATGCTGAATGTATTTGAATTGTTCATGTGAAAACTGTTGAGCTGTCAAATGTTTGAATACATACGTGTTTGCCTCAACTAATACAAGATAAAGATATGGAGAAGGAGAAAGCAGGGCCAGGTGGGGACAAGCAGTTTCCTGCCAGAAACCAGTGCCAGGAGGAGCAGCCACAACCGGCCTGGGTGCCCACGGGCCTGAAACCTGGGGCAAATCCCAGAGCCCTTCAGGAAAGAGAGCTAGTGAGGAAGGCAACAGAGGGAACATGCTGACTGTGCTGTCTGCCTTGGGTAGCTGCCCAGCCCAACTGTAGGGAGAGCAGGGAAGGTCCAATTTCCAGAAAACTAGATTTACAAAAGCATCCTGGCCCCTGGGAAAAGGAGCCGCAGACAAAGAGATCAAAGTTCCTTTCTGCTCCATCAGCTGCCAGGCACCCACCCAGCACCAGCCCTAGGGCATTGTTGAAAGAGATGAACAGGCATGATGGACCAGTCTGTGGCTGGTGACTGGCAAAACCAGGGGCTAAGCCCTGCTCTAAATTGATGACTAGCCCATTTGAGAAACCAGAAACACCCCAGTTAGACTTAGCCTTCTTCCTTTCAGTAAATGTTTTAATTAAGAATTAACAACCAAAGGATAATAGCAGGAGAAACACGTAAGCTTTGGAGTCAGACAAAACTGGCTCAAATCCTAACTTTCCCATTTCTTAACTGTGTATGACCTAGGGTAGTCCGTAAAATCCATTGGGCCTCTGCGTCCTCATCTCCCTCCAAAGTATGTGTGAAGTCTAAATGGAGAATTCTGGGTAAACATTAGTCCAGGACCAGGCATTCAGGTAAATACAAAATATTTGTACTTTGTGTTTCTAAAGAAATGATGGCTGGTGCTGTGTCACTGTTGTATGAATGGCAGATATTGGCCTAATCAAATGTCATTTGATTCCCACTAAACTACCAACTCTTGACTGACTATTATAATGGAGGAAAACCAGGAGTATGGATGACCAATCCCAAAGTCTTTGGAACTAACTTTGACTATGTCCTAAGTTATTTTGGTAATGATGCTATCTTTTCATTTTACTAGTTCTAACATTGAGGTAGCATCTGAGTAAGAATCAATGGTACTGAACCAAGAAGTTCAAGCTGCCCTAAAAGCATTAGCCAAAATCAAGGATCCAGAAATTGATGGAATACCAATTGGAATGGTTCCACAAGTTGATGAAAAACTGGAAGCACTCCCTCATCTATGCTAGGAAATCTGGAAGACGGCTACTTGTTCAATTGACTGGAAGAGACCCATATTTGTACCTATTCCAAAGAAAGGTGAGCCAACAGAACTCAAAAAGTATAGGATAGTTTTGTTAATATCATATGCAAGTAAACTTTTACTGAAGATCATCCAACAATGGATGTAGCGGTACATTGACAAGGTTCAGGCCCGATTCAGAAGAGGATGTGGAATAAGGGATAACATTGCTGATGTCAAAATGGATCTTGGCTGAAATCAGAGAATGCCAGAAAAATGTTTGCTTGTGTTTTATCGAATACATAAAGTCATAAACGGTGTGGAACATAACCAAATATGGATAGACTGGAGCAGAATGGGAATAACCTGCAATGGATTAAGTGGCAGCTGTGTGGACAGAACCAGGGGATTCTACATGGCTTAAGATCTTGACAGGTGTGCGTCAGGGTTGTATTCCCTCACTATAGTTCTTCCATCTGTATGCTGAGCAAATAATCAGAGAAGTTGGATTATATGAAGAATAATTCAGCATTACAATCAGTGGAAGGCTTATTAACAACCTGAGACATGCAGATGACACAATTTTGCTTGCCGAAAGTGAGGAGGACTTGAAGCACTTGCTGATGAAGATCAGAGATTGCAGTCTTCAGTATGGATTACAACTCAAAGCAAAGATGACCAAATGTGATTGGGAGGACTAAGATGAATGAGGTATTTTCCATTGCCTCTGATGCATGTGAAAATTAGATATTGAATAAAAGAAAAGGAAAAAATCGAAGCATTTGAATTATGGTGCTGGTGAAGAATATTGAAAGTACCATGGACTGTCAAAAGAACAAACAAATCTGTCTTGGAAGAAGTACAGCCAGAATGTTCCTTAGAAGCAAGGATGGGGAGACTTCATCTTACATAATTTGGACATATTGTTAGGACAGACCAGTCCCTGGAGAAGGACATCATGCTTGGTAAAGTAGAGGGGCAGGGAAAAAGAAGAAGGTCTTCCATTTATAGAGGTATGAATACGGGCATGTACATATGTATATATATTTATATATGGAAACAAGGAAATAGACCTATATGCATATATTTATAGGTTTAGTATTAAGGTAGCAGACAGACATTGGGCCTCTACTTTAGTACTCCCTCAATGCAAGAACATTTTGTTCTATTAAACTGGCATTTCATGATGCTCACCTTCCCAACATGGTTGCTGAAGACAAAGTGGGTGCATAAGCAAATGTGTTGAAGAAAGCTGATGGTGCACGGTTATCAAAAGATATAGCATCTGGCGTCTTAAAGGCTTGAAAATAAGCAGCCATATAGCTGAGAAGAAACAAAGTCCACATGGAAGAAGCACACCAGTCTGTGTAATCACAAAGTGTCAATGGGATCAGGTATCAGGCATCAAAGAACAAAAAAATCATATAATTGTAAGTGAGGGGGAGTGCAGAGTGGAAACCCAAAGCCCATTTGTAGGCAACTGGACAGAAGGGTCATGGGGAGGATCCAGTCAAGGTTCAGTATCGCACAGATGAAACTTACAACATTCCTCTAGTTCTTTAATGCTTCCTCTCCCCCACTGTCATGATACCAATTCTACCTTACCAATCAGGCTTGACCAGAGCATGTATACTGGTACAGATAAGAGCTGGAAACACATGGAATCCAGGTCAGATAAACCCCTCAGGATCAATAATGAGAGTAGCAATATCAGGAGGGGAAAGGGAAGTGGGGGGCAGGGATAAAGGGAGAACTGATCACAATGATCTATGTACAACCCCCTCTCTGGGGGATGGACAACAGAAAAGTGGGTGAAGGGAGACATCGGTCAGTGTAAGACATGAAAACAACAACAATAATTTATAAATTATCAAGAGCTCATGATGGAGGGAGGATGGAGGGAGGTGGGGGGAATGAGGAGCTGATACCAAGGGCTCAACTAGAAAGAAAATGTTTTGAGAATGATGATGGCAACAGATGCACAAATGTGCTTGACACAATGGATGGATGTATGATTGTGATAAGAGTTTTATGAGCCCCCAATAAAATGATTTAAAGAAGAAGAAGGAAGAGGAGGAGGAGGAAGAGAAGGAGGAGGAGGAGAAGAAGAAGGCCTTCACCAAGAGGCTTTGACACAGTGGCTGTAACAATGGGCTCAAACATAAGAACTGTCAGGACGGCACAGGACCGGCGGTGTTTTGTCCTATCGTACATCAGGTTGCTGTGAGTCAGAAGCGACCTCACTGTATGGAACAATAACAATGACATTGAAAGGAATCTAGATTCTCTGAGCCCTGGAAGATTGGAATACAAGAAGTGAGTGCCATTGGAATGACTAGAAATCAGAGGCAATATGACCTAGAATTAAGCTTTGTTATAAAAAAAATACACAAAGCAGGCAATCCATCTAGAATAGCAGAAAGTCAACTGCATCTTCCTTTTATTCATTCAAGTACCATCGAATTTTCCTCACCTTATTGAAAAGCATCTAAAATACTAGGACGTTTAGAGAGGCAGGGGGGTTACTACCACGTCCATTTCTCAGGTGATGTGCTTGTGTTTGGGGTACGGTAACTGAGGCCCAGAGAGGGGCCTACGTGATGTCCTGGACGAGTCAGCTGACGATGAGGCACACGCATTGATTGTGGCTTTCGGGGTGGGCCTGACGAATGGGATCACCTGGACTGCTGTTAGAAATGCAGAGTTCCACTTTTCCCGCAGACCCAAATTCTGACCCCACAGATCGAAGGATGGGGAAAGAAGATGTTTTTAACGAGCAACATCTTAGGATTCTTATCAGGGCTGGGATTAGGGCAAAATAAGCCAGACATTGGCTTAGGATGTAGCATGGAAGGGAGTGCCAAGAAACAGGGTGGAAGATGAATCACCGTTTAAGACAAAAATGCAAAATAATTTCTTTATATCAAAGAATCCATGGGGAAGAAAATATCAGCTTTTAAAATGCACGTAGGCTCAGTAACAGAGTTGTGACCTATCGGGGCCTGAAGCAATGGGAAAACCAGTAAAACTGATGGCCTCACCCTAGTCCCAGTCCTGATTCTTATCATCATTCACCTTCAGGAAATGCTGTCTTGCATAATTAGACTTCCAGTTTCTCTCTTCCCCGGGAGACTATCCATGCCTTTCCAATTGCTTAAATAATGGCTCTAATTTACTAGTCTTGAATAAGGCTGAGCTGGAAGCAATCCAAACCTCTAGAGGTAAGACCTAGAAATCCAAAATTATCCAAGTGAACAACAGGTGACACACATCCAGCCTTGGGAATCACTGTCCTAGGAGAGCCTTCAGCTCAGACTGGGGAAAGTATCACCCACTCCTTACCTTCTCTGTATCAATGCCTCTGGACATGGACCAGGTGGACACGATGTAATCCATGACTCGCTCACTCAAGCCCTTTGGCACTTGGTAGAGCTTCAGGAAATCCCGAACACTGTTGAGCATCTCATGGTACCTGTTGGTGTTGGCATACATCTGCTGGAAAATGGTTGTCACGTTCCCAAAGATGGTGGCATAGAGAAGTGCTAGAGTGAGGCAAAGAAGGAAAAACCACATGTGAGTGTTCTCTGAGTCAAGACCCAAGATATCCAGTTGATTCACAGGAGGCCCATGGCTGGTGCTGCCATTGCCCTAGCAAGGCAGACTGTCCTGCTCCATCGCAGGAGAAGAAAGGGTCCCTTACACCAAACCATGAGGATAAACTTGTGGAGGCAGGACTCTGGTGGATGGGGACAGGGCGCACCAAGGCCAACGCGAGGAGATAGATAGAAAGAAGGGGGAGTGGGGTGGTGATGGGAGCCCTGCTGGACAGATTCACTTTATCCTTCTCACAGAAAGTTTCAGCCATGCCTGAGGTTGACAGTCTAATATGGCCCTGCATATACCATGCAAAACCAAACCCATTTCTGTTCAGTCCATACCGATTCAGTTTGACCCAATAGGACAGATCTGAATTGCCCATAAGGTTCCCAAGGCTGCGATCTTTACAGAGCAGACGGCCATATTGTTCTCCCATGCAATGGCTGGGAAGTTTCAGACCACTCGCGTTCCAGTTAGCTGTGCACTTACCCATTGCATCACCAGCAAATGATCATCATACAGCCCTGCTGTGCATCAAAGCGGCACTGCTAGTTTAGTGGTAGAGGCTCAGTTTCCCTGCAATGACCCAGGTCTGATACCCAGTCAATGCACTGCATACAGAGCCACCACCTCAACCCCCATGTCCATAGAGGCTGATGTTGCTATGGCATCGAACAGGTTTCATCAGAGCTCCCAGAACATGGCAGAGTATGAAGAAATGCCTGATGATCGGCCAGTGGAAACCCTGTGGGCTACCATAGTCCAGTCTTCAAGCTATCATGGGGACGGTGCAGGCCCAGAAAGCACTTTATTACATTGCTCGTGGGGTCGCCATGAATCTGAGGTTGACCTATGGCAGTTGATAACAACAATCACACACCTGCCGGGGAGAGGGTGGTAAGAAAACACTCAGGTCTGATCCTCATAGAGAAAATAAAACAGTGGGAGCAGCAGGACTTGAATTATAATCTCACGTTTTTTATTAATCATTTTATTGGGGGGCTCTTACAAATCTTATAACAATCCATCATTCAACTGTAGTAAGCACACTTGTACTTATGTTGCCATCAACATTTCCAAAACAGTTTCTTCCTACTTGAGCCCTTGGTATCAGTTCCTCTTTTTTCCCCTCTCTCCCCTACCCTCTTAGCCTCGTGAATCTTTGATAAATTATATATAGTTATTTCGTGTCTTACCTCTGTTGTCTCCCTTCACCCATATCTTTGTTATTCATCTCCCTCCAGGGGGGCTATATATCCAACCTTGTGATGGGTTCCCCTTTCTCACCCTCCCCTCGGACATGCTGCTACCCTCATGACATCACTACTCCCACTACTGTTGCTGAGGGATTTCTGTCCTGAATTCCGTGTGTCGAGAGCTCTTATCTGTACCCATGTGTGTGCTCTGGTCTAGCTGAATGTGTAAGGTAGAACTGGGTCATGGTAATGGGGGGAGGAAACCTTCAGGAACTACAGGAACGATGTGTGTTTTATTGGTGCTATACTGCACCCTGGTTGAATCGTCCATTTCTTGAAATCCTTTTGTGGGGGGATGTCCAATTATCTACAGATGGGTTAGGTCTGCACAGGAACACTAAAGTGTATCAGGTATCAAAAGATCCCAAACAATTAGATTGATGTGAACAAGGGGCATTGGCGATCCAAAGCCCATCCAGCAAGCAAGGTTGTGTCATCTGCATGTCTCAGGTTGTTAATAAGCCTTCCTCCAATCATGATTCCAAGTCCTTCTTCATATAATCCAGTTTCTCCGACTATTTTCTCAGGATGCAGAATGAAAACGTATGGTGAGAGGAGACAAGCCTGATGCGCCCCTTTCCTGTGCATACAGGAAACCATAGAGTATCGTCTGTCTGTTCGAAAGACTGCTTCCTGATCTAGGTCCAGGCTCTTTCTAGAAGAGCACAAGAAGTGTCCTGGAATTCCTGGTCTCCTCAAGCCCATCCATAGTTTGTTATGACCCGCCCAGTTGAGTGCCGTTACACAGCCAATAAAACACACGCAAACAGCCAAGACCCACCTGAAATCAGCAATGATATCCCTTGTTCCGTGTCTTCTTTGAATCTGGCCTGATCCTCTGGTAGCTCCCTGTCAATGTCCTGCTACAACTATTGTGGGATGATCTTCAATAAAAGTTTACTGTGTGTGATATTGCTCTATGATTTTCATATCCTAGGTTTGGTCACTTTCTTTGGAACAGGACAAATAGGGGCCTCTTCCAGTCAATTGGACTAGTAGCTGTCCTCCAAAGTTCCTTGCATGTAAGACTTGGTATAATATTGGCATCAATAAGCTATATTTAAAGTGTACACTTCTGACTTGTTAACGAGCAGACGTTAATATTCTCACAATTTAGAGGTGAATTGCCCAAATTCAGGTGCCCGCTCTAGAGATAGGCATTTTCTCCTGACTCTGGAGGGCGTCCCTTGCCCTTTAGCTCAGCACTGATCTGTGCATGGCAAGGCATCTCTCTTCCCCATCCCTGCTTGCTGCTTGCTCCTCCATCTGCTCCTCTCAGCTTCTCTATCCACTTCTCTCGATAGCTAAAGGCTCCTTCCTTGTCTGCCTGTCACGCGCCAACTTCCCTATACCACATGGTCCAGAGTGCTCAGCTCCATGGTTTCTAAACGGTTCTCTCCGTTTTTGTGTGTGTCTACATATGAAGAGGTACCTCCCCTCAAAGGGAATTTTCCCCCAAAGCTATGTATTTAATTTTTTAAAATAAAACAACCTTATCACCTTCAAAGTACTCTCCATTACACTTAATACATTTGTCAACTCTGCAATTCCATTCTTGCAAACATTTTTCAAACTCATCTGTTTGGACAGCTGACAGCACCTCCGTCGCTTTTTCCTTCACTTTTTCTACTGTGCCAAATGGCTGTCCTGTCATGTCCCTCTTCATTCATGGAAACAAAAAGAAGTCTCGTGGAACAAGGTCAGGTGAGTAAGGTGTGTAGGGCAAGGAGAGGCATGCTGCTTTTTGCCAAACACTGGCACCATCGTTGCCTGAGCAGGTGCATTGTCGTGGTGGCAAAACCAGTCCCCCATCTGCCACAAATTAAGCGTTTGGACGCATACACAATCTTTTCAGAACCTCTAAATAGAAAGCTTGATAAACAGTCTGACCTGGTAGAATGAACTTCAAATATACTGCTAGTCGACATTTTTGTCCGTTAGGGAAGTTGACAGAAGTCCAGAACAAGGTTTGTTATCAGTCGATATTTTACTTTTTTTGAAACGAGAAAACGACCCATACACTTGAGTTTTTCCCATAGAGCTATTCTTGTAGTCTGTGTTCAACATCACAACAGTTTCTGTGGTATTTTTCTAGAGCAGGAAACAAAATTTCACAGCCACACACGGTTCTCTTAAATTGGCCATCACAAAAAATGAGGTTTGAGCGAAACTGCTCTTAACAAAAAATTTACTGTGGCCAATTTGGACCTTCCTAGGTGATGCCACTGGGTGCACTAACTCAGAACAAGTTGCTGGAGGCTCACCTTGCAGGAAAAATGCATGCTACAAAAGCTCCACACGGAGGAGATTATCATTTGTTTTTTTTTTTGGTGGGGGGTATCCCCTCATATATACAAGGAGGCTTCCAAACTTCTGCGGAACAATGGAACTTAAAGACAATGGAACTTTTACACCAAAACTTTGAATTCTGTTCATCTATGTTCACAAAAACATCATACGAATCAAGCGAGCACATCCATCACTCCAGAGAGGAGTCACTCTCCTTTACAATCCCTTTACCCAGCCAGCCCCTGCCAGCCCTAAGCAGCCACTTTCTGTCTCTCTAGGGCAGTTCGCATTTTCTGGAATTTTATATACTTGGAATCATACAGTATGACCAATTTTAAAAAGTTTTTTTAAAAGAAATAACTCTCATATAATAAAATTTCTCTATTGAAAGTATGTAATTTAATAGTTTTTAGCATATGCAAGGCCATGTAACCATTACCACTAAATTTAGAACATTTTCATCTGCCTTAAAAGAAACCCTGTATTCATTTGCATGCACCCCCCAGCCTTTTCCCCCACCCCCATCTCATCTGCCTTGGACAACAGCTAATCTACTTTCTGCCTCTCTGAATATATTTGCCCACCCTGAACATTTCATATGAAGGAAATTGTATAATATGTGATGTTTTATAACTGATTTCTTCCATGCAGAATAATATTTTCAAGGTTCAACCATGTTGAAACATGTACTGATACTTCACTACTCTATTGTTGCTGAATAATATTCCCTTAATACAGGGATATTAAAGAACCCTAATGTCACAGTGTGTGATAGATGAGGCTTTCTATTACTGTAAACAGTCTCAGAAAATCACAGGGACAGGTCTACCCTGTGCTATAGGGTTGCTATGCACCAGCATTAACTCAATGGCAGTGAATTTGTTTTTGTGTGTTTGTTTTGAGTGGCAGAAAGGCTAAGCGATTGGGTGCTGTGTTAATCCGGGTAGACTAGAGAAACAAATTCATAAACACGCAAATGTGTTGCAGGAAAGCAGTTTATATACAAGAGCAGTTGAATATCGAGAAGACAACCCAGCCCAGTCCAGATCAAGTCCATAAGTCCTATATTAGCCCATTTGTCTGATACCAATCTATGAAGCCCTCTCCAGACTCATGAAACACATGCAATGACGCCGAATGCAGAAAGATCACAAGCCGGTGGGTTGGAAGTCTTCTGGATCCTGTGGCGTTGTAAGCATCTCAGTGCTGGCAGGGCTCTCCACGTGGCCTCTCCAGCTCCAGAGGTCTGCTTGCTTCAGGGTCAGTGCATGTGGCTTCTCCAGCTGTCAGGGTGTGGGGCCCTGTGTCTTGTCAGTAGAGAGCCTTCACGGGAGTGAGTGGTGAGAGAGAAGTGTCTTCTACCTCATGGAAGAAATACTGAGTTCCCAGAATCCTCAGGA